GTGTAGTAAAAACTTTCATGCTTTTAAAAGAGAAGAGAATTACTAAAGATTAATAGAATTTTGATGAAGATTATTTTTTGATAGTTTGTTGCCAATGGTACAAGTTATGCTTAGAATACTTCTAAAGGAAATTAAAAAGAGCTTTAATTATTTTGAACAACTACAATGGAAAATATTTTGTGGATCAAATTATTAAGAGTTGCATGCTTATGTTAAAAGTGGAAACCCAATGCCTTAGTGTTTTAATCAATTAAATTTTCTCCAAATCAAATCTTGCATAAATCTACCTCTCAATCACACTTGTTCTTTTTCATCTCTGTTATTTTCTTTACACTGCTCTCTGTGGATACGACACTCGGACTTCCGAGCTACACTACTATACGATACTATCTCCTTTGATTTTTGTAAAAGTGGTACGAACAATCATCATCTCTAAAAGTGTGTATCCCTGCAAGCTCCAAAGCCCTGTAGAGGTGATCTGCAAACCCCTTGCGTGTCTCTTCGCCTCTGAAACTCAAGAATGCATGATAGCTGCCACACTTGTAATTAGAGGAGGAAGCCATTGAGAAATTAAGTTAACTGTCCCGCAATGAGCGGATGAAAAAGAGCTTATACATTGCAGTTTGTATCATATGCAAATGGAGAAAAAAAACAAAGATAAAAACAAAGAGAAATGGATGGATGACATAGTGACTAAAGTCAATGTCCATTGTCTTTCAGCCACCTGACACAAAGAAATATTATTCTTTATAAGTAAATTTGCAATGTTTCATATTTAATAAAAAAGCTATAAAAAAAAAAAAAACCGATGGTTACAGAGAGTATTTGCCCGTCCAGACTTGATACCTTGACGCTGATGCTGACACACATTTGAGGTGTTTTCCAGACCTGATACTTCTCCTTCTCCAATTCATCATTTTCAAACAGCCAATTGCTTAGCCATAACATATCTTGGTTCTTTTCGGGAGGCCTGCTCTAACTGGCCAATAGGTCCACTTAACACCTTTTGTCTCATTAATTACTCATGCTCCCGTTGGGGAACCAATCTGGAATCTTGTTTATTGTTCAAACAGCTAGTACCAGCAGGGCCATAAAAAAAATCATAGCCTTGAGTTTCCAATAGAATTGTCCAAATTTCCATTTCAACTTAGTGCAAATCAACCTAATAACATTCCAAATTTTAAATAAGAGGGCGGCACGGGCAGTAAAAAAGAGAATGTAATTGCTAGAAGAAAACCCGGGAGAACATCGACATAAAAATAAATAAATAAAAGAGAAAGAAAAGAACAATGGTTACATTGCAGATCTTGCAATTGTTTATGCAAGCACTCAAATTTTGTTGCACCACAAGCAACCCTTGGAAGCCATCCCAAAATTCCAGAGAACCAATTAAAATTTATACCTCATACACAAGAATGCAATGAAGCAATAAATCTAACAAAACAATTGAATATATACTAAAATTATATGACCAAGAAAAACAGAAAATGAGACTCACTGGAGACAATTAATGCTGATGTTTCTCTTACAACGGTCAAAGAACAATGCTGGATGAAGGCCAATCCTCTGTGCCTACATAAAAGGAGCGTGAGCAGTCTAAGATTCTTTCGAACAGATGTAATCATTTTCGTGGAGGATGAACATCTTGATCAAATAAGTACGAATATTCAAGATAAGCTGGGTTCATCTGGCCATTTGGGAATTGACGTTGATGAACATCTTGATCAAATAAGTACGAATATTCAAGATAAGCTGGGTTCATCTGGCTATTTGGGAATTGACGTTGATGAACATCTTGATCAAATAAGTACGAATATTCAAGATAAGCTGGGTTCATCTGGCTATTTGGGAATTGACGTTGATGAATACGAGCCCGATGGTTACATAGAAAGTATTTGCCCGCCCAGAATTGATACTTAGATGCTGATGCTGATACATTTCCAGCAGCGACAATCTGGCTCGAAGGAGGTGTTTCCTGTTGGATTGTTATATTTTCACTTTTTGATGGGTCCTTCTCATACACAAGCTGGACACAGAACTCCTTTGCCCAGAAACTAAATTCCTCATTTATCGAAACATGTACTTGTTCTCCTTCCTCCAATTCATCATTTTCAAACCGCCAGTGGCTTAGCCATAGCATGTCTTGGTTCTTTTTTGGGAGACCTGATGCAACTGGGCAATAGGTCCACTTAAGACCTTTGGTCTCATTACTAACTTTAAGAAAGTTTGTAGCACTAAACCAAAATGGGCGGCGTGAATACATAACACATACAGTTAGCCCTCGGATCTTGAGATTAAGATGTGAGGGTAGAATAATAGACAAAACAGAATTACCCATGCTTCTGTAGGTGAACCAATCTGGAATTTTGTTTCCATGAACAAAAGTACTAATTATGCCACATTCATACACTGCCTGTTTCATATAAATCATATGTTACAATGACAAGTTAATTATTCAAACAGAGAGAGAGAGAGAGAGAGAGAGAGAGAGAGAGAGAGAGAGAACCTGGAGGGGCCCCTTCCTTGTTGTACATGTCAGGTAGTTGGTCATTTCAACTTCAGTACTTCCTCCTGTGGATTCCAAATTAAACAGGCCTATATCACTGATCATTTCTATGTCAACCCTTCCCAGTGGTTTTATGTTGAACAAGCTTTGAACTTCATCTAACTTCTTGCATTTCCAAAGACTTGAATCCAATGATTCAAACATGTTTGGTAGATTCGTTATTCTTTCAAGTGATGTACAATAACTTGCAAGCAATTTTCTTAGACTCCGTGGGAGCTTTGGAAGAGTGCGTAGCTTTGTGCAACCTTGTATCTCAAGAGTCTGGAGCATAATAAGACCGTTCATGTTTTCTGGTAGCCTCAGAATTGGGTTTCTACTTAGATTCAAATGCTTCAACAAGGACAAGATACTAAGATCACCAGGAATCTCTGACAGATTGCAGTCAGCCAGACTTAAGGTTCCTAAGCAATGTGGCCAGATTTCCATGGACAAACTGGCTGATTCAAGCTTATTTCTTGGTGATACCCATGACCTCCACGACCATATCGATTGCCATATTTTTTCTGATAACATATTTAATTTTTTCCTAACTCTAGTTGTAGAGTGTAAGTGATTAGCAGCAGTCGTACTGGTATGAAGCACAAGCTTTAAGCACCCAGAAAGATCAAGTTCCTGAAGAGATCTCAACATGCTAATTCTTGTTGGAAGCTTCATGAGACTTCTGCAGTCTTTTAGATTCAAGAAGATGAGTTTCTCTAGGTTTCCAAGGGATTCATCAATCACAACCAAATTTATGCAGTCTTTAAGAATCAATTTCTCAAGGTTAGGGACTCCTGACAAGTCGGGGGTTGTCACAAGGCTATGTGAATGACTGAGATTAAGAATTTTCAGTCCTAGAAGAAACTGTTTGAAAAAGATGGCAATTAGTTTGGTTGAGTATATATAATGATATCTAAACTTGTGGAGAGAGAGAGAGAGAGATTAGTATCATACCCTGGTTCCCTTCCAAACATGTTGTAGGCTGCTATTTCGCAGGTCAAGACCAACTAGATTTTCCAAATAAAATTTTTCTGGTATTGATTTTAAAGGGAATCCTCGCCAGCACAACCATATTAATTTTTTTGGAAAATCTTCATAATCTCCACTGACTTTTACATTATCGAGCAGGAGCAGTTCAAGATTGTGCATTCTTCTAAATGCCTCTGCCTTGAAGTCTACCTCTTTTGATGCAGCAGCTGAATTTGTTGAGGAAGAGTTAATTGATATCCAAGAGAAGTAACCAAGTCGACGTCGTCTTGAACAATTTCCATCAAAGTCTTCAACATGGCACCGGTTTTGGTTACTTGTACTAAATATTGCCCCACTAGGAAGGTTGAGCACGAGGCCCTTAATAGTTTCCGTTCCCTGCTACGAAATCAGAACATCTGGTAAGTAACAAGTTCACAAGCATTGCACAAATATAAAAGAGAGCAAGTTTCTTACAGTTAATTTTCTCAAAACGTCAGAGGCATCTTTATGCCACACTCTACTACGCTTTCCAGGGTCCTCGGGTGATTCTTCACGAATAATTTCCCTTCCCATGTCTCTAAGTAATTGATGCATGATCAACCTGTTGTCTATATCAATTTCCACTAGACATCTATCAACTAGATTTTGAATTCCAATCCTTGTGTAAAAATTTAAATTGTCTAGTACTGTAATTGTATAACCCATCTTCTTTTCTATGAAGAAACAGACAATATGAAGGAATAAATTCCTGTCATGATCATCTTTTAGAGAATCAAAGCTTATTCTAAGAATCTTTTGAATCTTGTCATCAGGAATCACGTGCAACTTCTGTAATGCACTTTGCCATAGATCTACACTTTTTCCAAATAGAGAAGATCCCAAAACTTGGAGAGCTAGTGGAAGGCCTTCACAGTGTTGTACTACAGATCTTGAAAGGTTCATGTAACCTTTGATAGGATGCGCTTGTTTGAAGGCATGCCAACTGAAAAGCTCCAGTGATTCACCCTCGCCTAATCCTTTAACCTTAAACATTGCATAAACTGCATGATCATTTAACAGATTTTCATGTCTAGTTGTTACGATAATTTTACTTCCTGGATGAAACCATTCTCGCATTCCAAGAATTGCATTGAATTGCTCAGAGTGGCTCACATCATCAAGGACAACAAGAACCCGTTTGCAACGCACAAGAAGTTTGATCTTGCTCATTCCTTCATCTATGCTGTATATTTTCTTTGTTTTCCTTTTTTGGATATCCGAAAGAAGTTTTCTTTGCAAGAAAACCAAACCATTAGGTTGTTCTGAAGTTGCTCTAACATCTAGAAGAAAGCTGCTACCTTGAAATTTATCAAAGTTCTGCTTATAAGCAGCTTTGGCGATGGTGGTTTTGCCAACTCCACCCATCCCATAGATAACAGCTACACCAACATCATTTGATCTATCCTTCAACCACATGTTTATGCCTCGCACACGATTATCTATTCCAACCACATAGGGAGCAATGTTCGGTGTTGTGTGATTCAGTTTATTTTCAATCTCTCCAACAATATTTTGGATAAACTGCGACTCGTACCTATAAATGGTTGATATCACAGTATACATTAAGTGTTTGAGTGTTTGTGTGTGGGTTTATAGTTAGAAGAATGCAATGGATGATATATCATCAATTGAAATGAAAGATAGCCCTCAGGCTATTGTCAATTGAGCATAGGATAGTAAGCAACTGAATCTTCTAATTCAAACTGCTACTTAGTTACATGAAAGAAAGTACAAGCAAAATCCAACCTTAATTCCATATGTAAAGCTTCACTAATATTACACTAAATCAACTGGCACACTTGCAATTTGTTTTCATATTGTAGCTGTTTTGAGCTAGGATTCCTGTTATAATTCATTTAAATTCTAATGAAGTGTGCTTAATTGTTGACGAATATATAAATACCTTCCAAAAACTACGTCGAGGAATTAGAGAAGTGCAAATACTTTAGAATAAAAATCAACCATGGAGTAAGAAGTTTTTGGGAATGAAATTACCGATCTCCTAAGACCATCCCTCCCAGATCTGCTACATCTCTAAGAGCTCTTCTCCACTCCTCCACCTTGTGAATGTAATCCTCGAAGTGCTCTTCATGTCCAGAAAATGCATTTGCAAAGCTACCAGTCAGCTTCCTAACATGGGATGGATCCACATCATAGAAAACTGGCATCACCATGAGTCCATCATCAGCTTTTCTACGTTCCATGATCTTCACAAGTTCGTCCAAGCACCATGTTGAGGAAGCGTAGTTCTTCGAGAAGACAATTATCGATACTCGTGATTCTTGTATTGCTTTCTGTATCTCAGCTGCAATGTTTGCGCCTCTCTTGATCTCATCATCGTCTCTAAAGGTGTGGAATCCAGCCTGCTCCAAAGCCCTGTAGAGGTGATCCGTAAACCCCTTGCGTGTATCTTCGCCTCTGTAACTCAAGAACACATCATAAGTGCACCGGTAGGTGGAACTTTTAGATGTTGACCCCTGCAAGGAAAATTCCTGGATCCGCCACTGAGTGCACCGGTAGGTGGAAGAAGCATCCAGCTGCGCTATTATAGCAGCCATTTGGAAGCACTCGATCTTTGTCTAGTAATAATAATGGATCAGGAAGAGTTTATATATGTAGTTTGTGTTTGTGAGAGGCAGTACCCAGTATTATATGCAAATCCAGAGGAAGCTTCCTCCGTGCTTTTTGTCTTTGAGGTCAAGTCAACGAGGAAGCTGCTTCTAAACGTAAGACAAACAATTTTTTTCTTGCACAGATGTAAACAATTTATTTTTCTGTGTGTTGACTGATGAATAAGAGGCCAATTCCACCTAAATATTTATGATATAGACTGAAAGATAAATAATTGAAAACTTTTTAAGTATTTGATGATTAGTTGGTGGTCTTGAAATTGTGTGAATGCCTTCTGCATTGTAATTATTTAGGGAAAAAAATGGAAATGGGAACTTTAATTTTGAGTCTTTTTGAGTGTGAGTCTTCAGTTTTAAAACCCAAAACAAATATCATATGCAAATGTAAACCATAATTACAGATAAGAAAAGTAAGGTTGGATCGATGCAGATACTAAAGGAAAGTCAAGAGGAGTGTCATTCACTTGTCTCCATGAGGACTGGGTTCCAAGCTAATGATGACCAAAGAGCAGAGCTACGTTTTCACAACACAAAAGCGGGCCAGGGTGGATTAGTAAGTATGTTCGCTAACTGTTCGATGAAATTCCCGACTCAGACACTGTGGAAGAAAATGGACCATCCCAAATCGAATGTTGTTCAATATTCTCCACCTCTCTCACTCTCTGTGCTCCAAGAATTTGAACGGGTGCAAAACTGAAATGGCTGAATGGCTGAGTGCTTGCTCGAAAGCGGAAATGTCTTGATAGCTGACGAAGAAGAGGAGATGAAAGATGCTAACAGAGAAGCTGAAGAAGAAGAAGAAGAATTTGATCAGAGCAACAAAGCAACTACAATCCCATTCAACCTCAAGGAGCCTGCACCTTGCATCCCAAGCTAAACACAATCGCCTGTAAATCCCCACAGCTCAGCTTCAACTACAGAGCTAGACCCCAAGTTGGCTCGGATTCCACCCCACTCACTCTCAGGCGAAATTTGAAAAATGCACTTTTTTTTCAACACCCTTTAGGATTTTAGCCTTTTTGTTGTTGTGAAGATTTAGACATATCGCCATTCGATGCCCTCTGGAGTGCTCGGATGGAATTCTAAGAGTCTTTAACATGTCAAGATGTTGGTTACTTGCTAAAATTTCACAAAGCTAACAACATCATTGATCCTCTAACATGACGTCCTGAATCAAATCAAGAGGCTCCTCATAAGTTATAACAACCAAAACAAGCACCTTAGGGCATATTCAGGCACAATGTATTAATATAAAATAATTGAGGCATATAAAATAAGTTTACTATAAAGCACAATATCCGTCTTCAGCCCCTCCTGCTTAAACAAAGGAGGGCAATAGGTCCACATAAGACCCTTGGTCACATGCACAAGACGATTATGAATACATACACATAAAAGAGCATATTTCTTACAGTTAATTTTCTCAAAACATTCGAGGCATCTTTATGCCACACTCTACCACGTTTTCCAGGGTCCTCAGGTGATTCTTCGCAAATAATTCCCCTTCCTATGTCTTGAAGTAATTGGTGCATGGTTCACTTGTAATGCACTTTTCCATACATCTGCAGCTTTTCCAACTCAACCCTTGATGCTTATCCTATATGTCTATGTATGAGACGACTCCTATATGACTATGATTACAAATAACGCATTCACCCACCTTATCCAACTCAAACCTTGATGCTGACGCTGACACATCTCCAGCAACGACATGATTTTGGCTCGAAGGAGTATTTGTTTCATGCTGGAACATTGTGGTTATATCTTCAGTTATAGTACCCTCATTATTATTCTGCTCGTACACAAGCTGGATTCCAAATTCCTTTGTCCAGAAACTATCGGATTCATCTCTAACCGAAACACGTATTTCTTCTCCACCCTCCAATTCATCGTTTGCGAATCGCCAATGACTAAGCCATAACATATCTTCCTTCTCTTTTGGAAGCCCTACTGTGACTGGAAAATAGGTCCACTTAAGACCCTTGGTCTCATTGCTGATGCGAAGAAAGGGAACGACCGAGTAACATTTCAATTCCTCAACAAGAACCTTACCTTGTGCATACACAACACATGCATTTAGGCCTCGGATCTTCAAATTAAGATGTGGAGGTATAGTTATAGACAGTTCAGAGTTACCCATGCTCGACTTGTAGCAGAACCAATCTGGAACCTCGCTCCCAGGAAGGAATATGCTAAATATACCACTTTCATCCAGTCCCTGTTTCATGCATGCATGGAGAGATTTATGCATGTTCAAATATTACAGGCCACAGAAAATCATAATCATCATAAAAAACTATACAATACATGAGAGAGAGAGAGAGAGAGAGAGAGAGAGAGAGAGAGAGAGAGAGAGAGCACCTGGAGAGGACCCTTCCTCGTTGTACGTGTCAAGTAGTTGATCATTTCAACTTCAGTGCTTCCTATGGATTCCAAATTGAACAGACCGATATCTTTGATCATTTCTATGTCGACGCTTCTCAACGGTCTTGTTTTGAACACGTTTTGAAATTCAACTAAATTCTCGCAACTCAAAACCTCATGTCCCATTGTTTTGAACACGGAGGGTAAGTTTGTTACTCTTTTCAATGAAGTACATTCCCATGCTTGCAATCTCTCTACACTTGGTGGGAGCTCGGGGAGCATTTCGAGGTTTGTGCAACCATCCAACACAAGAGTCTGGAGCTTACTAAGACCATTCATGTTTACTGATAGGCTCAAAAATGGGTTTCCACTTAGATTCAAATGCTTCAATGAGGATAGGCTACTAAGACCATTGGGAATTTCTGACAGATTGCAGTATGCCATACTTAAGCTTTTTAAAAATTGTGGCAAACTTGCCCTGGTAAGTTGGAGATTTTTTCTTGGCAATACCCATGATCGGATTGATTGCCACAATTTAACTGCAGATAACAGACTGAGTTTCTTCATGTCACTAGGTGTAGAGTCTGACTGATTTTTAACAATCATACTGGCAGGCAGCACAAGATTTGGGCAACCAGAGAGAATAAGTTTCTGGAGAGATCGCAGCATACTAATTCTTATAGGAAGCTTCACGAGATTTTTGCAATCTTTTAGATTCAAGAAAACAAGTTTCTCCAAATCTCCAATGGATTCATCCACCTCTTTCAAATTTATGCAATCTTTAAGAATTAATCTCTCGAGATTAGGGAGTCCTGACAAGTCAGGGGTTGTGACAAGGCCATGTGAATGACTGAGATTTAAGATTTTCAGTCTTAGAAGAAACTGTTTAAAAAAGAAGTAATTAGTTTCTATAAATATATAATCATCTTTAAATTTGTCTCAGTGTGTGTGTGTGTGAGAGAGAGAGAGAGAGAGAGAGAGAGAGAGAGAGAGAGAGAGAGAGAGA